ATGGAGAGTAGCCAAGGGGGAATTCCTAGTTGTTGCCTGATGCTCGATTTTCTATTTGGGGCCTTAGTTTACATCAATAACATTCTTCTAGAAACAGGTAGAGACCTTAAGTCTCCTGTTTTGTCATACGGCTGCCGTGAGGGAGTCAATTTGGTCTTCTTTATTGCAATAAACTGAGTTTGCAATATCATCTAGTGTCTTTCGGAGAGTTTTTGAGAGATGTTGGGATTTTTTTTCTAGTCGTGCAGTGTTAGTAGGCGTTCCTGTTATCATTCCCAGGCTGGACACTAAACAGAGGAGTACTATTATGGTTGCTTGTGTTTGAGGTGCTGGGTTAGAGGGATAGGTATTAGTTCAGGGATGGTTTGATTGACAGGCAGGAGTAGATGCTGCGTCTGCAGGTCAGGAAGAGACTGCTTCTTGCTTTCAGGCATCCTTAAAAGTTGACTCTGAAGAGAAGCAGAACCTGGTCTGCATAGCCTTACAGTTCGTATGACCTGAAAGAGGTAGCTAAAAACTTTTTAGTTGGGTGATTTAGAAAGAGATGGGGCAGTCTGTAAGAGAATGCAGTGCTAATATTGATATTGTGGGGAGTTTATAGTAAATAAGGGAAGAGACTGGAAGAGATCCAAGGAAGAAGTTCAAGCTGCTGTAAAAGAATTGGTAAAAAACAAGGCTTCAAGAATTGATGGCATGCTGATTGACATATTTCAACAGACACTGCCCTGGATGTGCTCACTAAGTTGCGGCAAGAAATCTGGAGGACAAGCACCTGGCCAACTGACTGGAAAAGATAGATATTTGTTCCCATTCCAAAGAAAGGTGCCCCAACAGAGTGAGGAAATTATCAAACAATATCATTAATATCACATGCAAGTAACATTCTGCTGAAAATGTGCCAAAAGAGACTAGAGCAACACGTCAACGGAGAACTGCCAGATGTGCAGGCTGGGTTTAGAAGAAACCATGGTACTAGGGATATTATAGCTAATGTTAGATGGATCTTGGCTGAAGGCAGAGTACCAGAGGAATGACTATCTGTGTTTCATTGACTATGCAATGACATCAATCTGGAGACTAAGGTGTACCTGACCCAGGCCATAGTCTTCCCAATTGCTTGCTATGCGTCAGAGATCTGGACAATGACAAGGGATGATAGAAAGAGAATTGATGCCTTTGAGCTGTGATGCTTGAGAAGAATGTTAAATATACCACGGACTGCTAGGAGAACAAAAAGGTTTGTCCTGGAGAGTGTAAAATCAGGTTGCTCTTTGGAGGCAAGGATTCTAAAGCTTTGTCTGACATACGTTGGACATGTTACAAGGAGAGACTGTTCCTTGGAGAGAGACATCATGTTTAGGAGTGTGGAGAGACAGCTCAAGAGAGGAAGACGCTTGATGAGATGGATTGATTCCATGAGGTAGGTGTGTCAGAGACAATAAGGGTGGCACAGGATAGAGCAGGTTTCAGGGTCGCTATGAGTCGCAAGCAAATGGAGAGCACATATCACGAATAGCGAAGAAGATGGTATTTTGCTCTGAATTTGGAGTGGAGGTCTAGTGAATTAACTAGGGTATGAGCTTTTGTGATCAGGCCCAGAGACTTATTAGGATATGGTCTCTGTTCTGGTCACCTTAGACATTATCAGGTTTCTTCAAGGAGTGACCATGCCTGGGGACAACTGCAGCATTTTTCCTCCAATAGGAATATACAGAAACGATGAACTATCTCAGGAAGTCAAGAACCAAGGAAGGAAGGAAGAAGTTCAAGCTACACTGAAGGCTTTGGCAGTAAGTAAGGCCCTAGGACTTGATTGAATACCAGTTGAGATGTTTCAGCAAACAGATGCAGCCTGGAAGTGAAACTAGTACTCCCTAGTCTATGCCAAGAAATTTGGTAGACTGTTAACCTGGCCAACTGGCTGAAAGATATTGATATTTGTACCCACTCAAAGAAAAGGAGATTCAAAGGAATGTAGACATTGCCATATAAATCATTAATATCACACATAGGTAAAATCTTGCTGAAGATTACTCAAAATTGACTAAAACAGTACATTGATTGGAAATTGCCAATTCTGGTTTCAGAAGAGGCTCTGGAATGAGGCATATCACCACCTGTGTCAGACAGATCTTGGCTGAAAGTAGAAAATACCAGAAGGATGTTTGCTTGTGTTTTATTAACTGTGCAAAGGAATTTGACTGTGTCAAGTGTAATAAATTATAGATAACAGGGAGAGTAATGGGAATCCCAGAACACATAATTGTGCTCCTGAAGAACCTATTTATGACTCAACACATAGTTGTCTGAGTAGAATAAGGAAACTGTACATGGTTTCAAATAAGAAAATATGCATCATGATTGTAGTCTTTTTTTCCTTATCTAATCTGCATGCTGAGCAAATAATTCAAGAAGATGACTATATGAAGAAGAATATGGCATCAGATTTGGAGGAAGACTCATCAACAACCCATGTTATGCAGAGAATACAACCTTGCTTGCAGAAATTAGGGAAGACTTGAAGCGCTTACTGAAGAAGATCAAATAATATAGCCTTTAATATGGTTATCTCAATATCAAGAAAGCAAATATGCTCACTACTGGATAAAGAGGCCAAATCATGGCAGACACAGAAAAGAGTGACATTGTCAAGGATTAAGTTTTTCTTGGATCCACCCATGATAGCAGCAGTCAAGAAAGCAAAGGACATGTTGCATTGGGCAAATCTGGGGTCAGAGACCTCTAAAGTGCTGAAGAGGACTAAGATGGGACTAACCCAAGTCATGACATTTTCATTTGCTTCATATGCATGTGAAAGTTGGACAATAAGTAAGGAAGATCGAAGGAGAATGTATTCTTTTGAATCATGGTATTGGTGAAGATTCCCGGATTACCAAAAGAACAAGCAAATCTGTCTTGGAGAAACTGTAACAAAGGTGTTCTTGAGAGGCAAGGCTGGTGGCATTTTGTCTCATGTACATATTTTTGGGAGGTGCCAGTCCTTGGAAAAAGACTTGGAAAAGTACTTGGAAAAATAGAGGGTCAGCGAAAGAGAGTCAGACGCTCAATGAGATAGATTGACAACACCTTGCAGAAGTGATTGAAACAAGGGGCTTGCAAATGGCAGAGACGATGAGGATGGCAGAGGATAGGGCCACCTTTGATGTGGTCATAGCCTTGCTATGACTTACAGTTGACTCAGGGGAACCTAATAATAATAATATCTAGGTCTTTCTTCTGGAGTACATCTGTGTAGATTTGAATTTCCAACCTCTCAATACCAATTTACACCATCCAAGGTCTTTCCCATGGTCAGAATGGATAAGAAAAACAACTAGATTTTAACATTTTATCTTCACTTCAAATCCATATGCCTTTCCAGTTTACTTTGGTTTTCTACTGGAGTTTCCAGATCCTGGACTCTTTGTGCCGTGAGAGGCAGATTTCACAAATGAGAGCTTTCAAGAGTTCAGCAAAATGTTAACTCCACATGAGGCAGGAGATTTTGAGGTTAGTGGATGCTGAATCCAAGGCTCTAGGGAAGTCCACTGAATGGGTACCTGGTGTTGACCAAAAGATGTAAAATGAGCAAATATGAGAAGAGGAAATGGAATATGAGGTTAAAAAAAAGACCACTTTCTGTCCACTAATTCTACTAACCATAAACATAGAAACATACAACACTGGTTTTATATCCCAACGGAGTTTTGTTCCAACTGAGGCTCTCTGAAGGCTGAGGCTGCCTAGACAGTTAGACATGCAGAGATCAGCGAGAGCTTCTCTTCCTATTTTTGTCTGAGGAAATCATAGAAGTGGAAATGTTTTAGTTGCACCTTCCCTAGAGACTGAAGTGGATTGTTTTTGTTTTTGTTTTTTTCTTTTAAATGTTCTAAGAGTGGTAAATAGTCTTTAGCCCTGGATCCAAGGCACTTGCAATTGAGGTGGAACAGTGGTTTCAGTGGGTGGTAGAAGAGGAAGGGCAGGAGGTTTGTGGTCAGTAAGGGTTGTGGTCAAAGAAAGTCTCATAAAGTTTGGCCATTTGTGAATATCTCTCTGGCTGTTCCTTTTTGGTAATCTCACCTGATTGGATGCCATTCATAATGCTCTCCTTTGGATTCCCAAAGAACAAGCTTATATAAAAAATCCTGATTAAAAATTGTCTGGAATTAATCTTTGGAAACACCAAAACATGACCATAAATTGTTGTTGTTGGTTGTTATGTGTGGTGTCGAGCCAGTTGAGTCACATAACGACCCTATGTACAAGAGCCCTAAACACTGCTCTATCCTGTGCCAAAGCAGACATAATTGTAGTAGGAAGGTAGCTGTAAATATTGAAAGACATGAGTAGATAATTTGGGAATAAATTATCTTATTATCTTGTCTTGGTTATCTAGTGTTGTCATCACAGAAATAACACGCGGGTGACTTTGACAAACAGAAATTTATTCTTTCACAATTCAAGGGACAAAGTTTGGATTCAGCATGCCAACTCTAGAAGTCAGCTCTGTGAAAAGACCTTAGTCTCCCTTCAATATCTTCAGGCCTGGAGTTCTCTGGAGGTCTCCATATGTCTTGGCATCATTCTTCTTCTGATCTAGGAGAGTCTTAGCACAAGAGCCCTGGGCTTAAAGGGTGTGCTCCCCTTCTGACTATTCTTTCTTATTTGACATTGAGATCCTGCTCTTTCAGCTTGATTTTCTCTCTTTTAATCTTTTTTTAAGATAAAAAACAATGTAGGCCACATCCCAGGATATTCTTTGTACATTAGATCCAGGCTTTCACTTGAAAGAGCATGTTGCATCTTACTGTAATAAGTTGTAACTGATTGAGTGATCACTTGAGATCACATCAAAGAGGATGGTAGTATGAAATTACCAGCTCAGGTGCCACTCATCCTCAGATGAAGGGCCTTGCAGGACTCACTGGTGTTAATTTTGGGGTCTTGTTTGTTTTTTTTTAGCTTTCTCATCCACCTCACCTACATCACCAAACTCCCCGTCAAAAGAAGGAGGTGCTCTCATGGTTGAAGGATCCTGGGGTGGGGGGTGGGATAGGGTATGAACTAGATGCCTGCTGTCTACGGAATAAAACCCGTCGGATCAGATTTTTGAGGTGTGTGCGGAACTTGACCCCCACGAAAACATAGAGCACGGGGTTGAAGCAGCAGTGGGAGAAGGCAAGCTTGCGGAAGATGCCCATGGCGTACTCGAGCTGCTGAGAGACCTCGCAGCTCTGGATGATGCTGAGTTTCAACAGGGTCTGCAGAAACAAAATCAGGTTGTAAGGCGCCCAGCTGAGGAAGTACACCATCACGATGGTGAAGATGAGCCTGGCCGTCCGCCGGTGCCGTTTGGATCTAGTACGGAACAGGGTTCTGAGAATCTCCACGTAGCAGAAGAAGATAATCCCCATGGACAGCAGGAAGAAGATGTTGTGCTGGTAGACCGAGATGAGATGCCATTTGAGTTCTGAATAATCACACTTTTCATTGTGCACCTGGTGGAAGAGACCGTCTGGGATGGAAGACAAGAGGCTGGCAGCCCATATGGCCCAGGTCACCAGCACACGGCAGCGGAGGGTGTGGACACGCAGCGTCGAGAGGGGGCTCACCACAGAGAGGTAGCGGTGGATGGTCATGACGGTCAGGATGATGATGCTGCTGTAAAGGCTGATGGAGAAGAGTAAGTTTAGGAGCTTGCAAAGGATGTCACCCAGCACCCAGTCTACGTAGTACGGCATGATCCACACGGGAAGCAGGCACGTGAAGACCAGGTCTGAGAGACACAGGTTGAGGATAAAGACGTTGGTGAGAGACTCCAGCCTCTCATACTTGATCAGGACCCACAGCACTAGGCCATTGCCCACCAGGCCAAAGAGCAACACTAGGGAGTAGAGGATGGTGGTGACGAAGGTAGTAAAGACAAAGGCCACGTTCTCACACAGAAGGCTACTGTAATCGTAATCCGACGGGGTGGTGGACTCTGTGAGGCCTGAGGGCTCCATTTAGACCAGGTGGCGAGGGCGTTGAAAGTGTCTGCAATGACAAAGACATGGAGTTTAGAGCCATGCAATTAGACTAGAGATCAGTAAGACTCAAATTACTGAAAAGAGTGCGTTCCAGTTGCCAATTGGTAAACTGTAACAAGAATAGAAACTGGTTCCAGAATATAAAGCCAGTATACACGTTGATCCCAAAGGCACACGGTTTGAGTCTATTAGTTGTTCTGTGGGAGGATGAGCAACCTCCTCTTGTGAGATTTACTGTCTCTAAAAACCCACTGAAGAGTCAACTTTGGGCCGATGACATACAATGACACACAGCAACAACATACACACTGTTTAGTTTTGTTAACTTTTTTTGCATAGCAAGACTTTCTCGATGAAGGAAGCACTTCAGTTGATTTCCATTCAATCACAAATTCCTTTCATTATAGCAGACCTGTGTAGCATGAAGATGTACTAGCCTCCAAGAGGAAGCAGAGGAAAGAGCAGTTGGATCTGGACTCAGATGCTTGAGAAAAAATTTGCCCTCCATTACTTACTCTTGGCCTGGTGATCTACTGTGGTTTATAAAATAGGACTACTAATCTCAGAGCCAGACCTTCATTGACTTAACACATATCTAGTGAGTATTTACTATACCAGTCACCATGGGAGACCCTGAGAATACTGGCATCAGTGAGGCAAGCAAGGTTCTTGCTTTCATGTGGATTACATTTCACTAGTGTAGAGGGTAAACAAACAGAAGAAATTCAAATTTTGAAGAGCAAATAAAAGAATGTGGTAAAAATTACTGAGGAGACAAGATAAAGGTAAACAACCCAATTGTAAAATGGGCACAGGATATGAACAGACACTTCACCAAAGAAGACATGCAGATGGCCAACAAACACATGAAGAAATGTTCAAAATCCCTAGGACTAAGAGAGATGCAAATTAAAGCAACTGTGAGATATCGTCTCACCCCAGTAAGAATAGCAAAATTTAACAGAACAGCAAGCAACAAATGCTGCAAGGTTATGGAGAAACTGGAACCCATATTCACTGTTGGTGGGAGTGTAAAATGGTGTAACCACTATGGAAGGCTGTATGGCACTTTCTCAAAAAAAGTTGCAAATAGAAAGACCATTTGACCGAGCAACTCCATTAATAGGAATATACCCTAAAGAAACCATAACCGCCACCCAAGCAGATATATGCACACCCGTGTTTATTGCGGCTTTGCTCATAAGGAGTTGGAAATAACCCAAGTGCCCATCAACAAACGAATGGGTAGAGAAGCTGTGGTATATTCACACAATGGAATACTATGGTGCATTGAAAAACAAGGAACTCATGAAATATTATACAAAATGGGTGACCCTGAAGGACATTATGCTGAGTGAAATATCTCAGTCACAAAATGACAAATACTATATAATGCCACTGTTATAAAACGAGACTGATGAGGGTGTGGGTGGAAACTAAGAAAAAAGGGGATAAATATTGTGCATGGCATTGAAACAGATGAGGGAGAGAACAGTATAAAAGGAATATATGATTAGGTATTATTGGTGTGACAAGAGTTCAGAATAAGAGCTCCATAGTAAAGTTGTATGGGGGGTGGGGGTGGGGGAGAGGATTGTATAACAATGAAAGAACTTTTTTTTCCCCAATAGAAAAGTGAACTAGGGGGGAAGGAGGAAAATGTGCAACAATGAATGAATAGAAATCCAATTTCTTTATAAACTTACAATAAAATCTCAATTAAAAAATTACTAAGTAGAACTATGCCAACTGTGGTGGTCAAGGAAAACTTCTAAGAGAGAAGATTCTGAATTAAGACCTATATGATGATTTAAAACTCAACAAAGAGTTAATAGTGTTTAGACAAGAAATAGTTGCATGACTTTGCATAGTTTAAAAAAAACCGCATAAAACACTCAAGTATCGTTTTTGTATTGCTTTCAGCCAAGATCCATCTGACATCAGAAATGATTTCTTTTATTCCACACCCTCTTCTGAGTCCAGTTTGAATTCCTAGCAATTTCTTGCCAAAATAATGCTGAGCCTTTTTTGAATAGTCTTCAGCAATATATTTTGTTTTTTATTGATGGAACTGTTAAAAATTTCTGGGCTTTATTGATTCACTTTCTTTTTAGAATGGTAACATATGTGGATCTCTTCCTGTTTTTGAACAGCTGTCTTCCACATTTCCTAACATAGAGTACTGAACATGCCTAGGGCTGCATCTGTTTTACTGAAGCATATCAGTTGGTATTCTATTAATTTCTGGAGGCTTATTTTCTGTGAATGATTTCAGTGTAGCTTGAACTACTTCCTTTTGTACTACTAGTTCTTGATCACAAGTTAAGTGCTGACCAACTGTTTTGGGTGCAATAAATTTATGCTTTATTTCCATCTTCAATGCACTGAACACTAATGACTGAAAATCAAATAAGTTAGGATTACATCAAGGACATCATACCTGAAAAAAAGATCATTA